TCTTGAACTACGATGTTGCCGTTGATCCTTTCCTGCCTGGGCTTCTTCCTTCGCCCAGGGTCCCTTACCGGCCAATATCTCCTCCCATGTCCAGAATGTCTTCCCCACCTGTGTCCAGCATGTCTGCTCCTCCTGGCCACGCTGCTTGGTCCATTTGTGGTGGGAACTTCTGTCACGCTCGTTGATAGACGGCTCGGACCAAGGTGCAGTGTGGTAGGCGAACATTTTAATGTATTAACTGAACACCAACAAAATACAAACAAATGTAAAGTTCTGCAGGCTACACAGCACCTATACAAAAACAAGATCCTACAAACTAAGGTGGGAAAAGGCTGCCTAAGTATGATCCCCAATCAGAGACAACGATCGACAGCTGCCTCTGATTGGGAACCACACCCAGCCAACAAAGAAATAGAAAACATAGAATGGACACCCAAATCACACCCTGACCTAACCAACTAGAGAATAAAAGGGATCTCCAAGGTCAGGGCGTGACAATTCTAAACCCCAGCAAAACTAAACCACACCATATTGTTTTCTACAATGAAGTCAACTTTGGGGCTGGAGTTTCCTGCAACACAAATGAGAGAATAATGATTATGTGCATGTTAACATTTCACTTCTAAAGGACAGAAAACTGGTCACCAGTTTATGTCATTAGGGTAAACATTTTACCCATTAGTAGTATGTGAGTGAAATGTTAGTAGTATGATATGAGTGAAATATTTGTCCCTATAGCAAAATTATTATGGCCCAAATCCGGTGCACATATAAGGTTACCCACAAGACCATGTTACCAATCGGAATTACGGTCCAAAAGCAGGCCAGCTCTGGTTGCCATACCTAAACCATATCTTCACCCCAAGGTTCGACCTTACCCTGGACCCCATTAATCTGCTGTCTGGGTGGAATGGAATGGATGTGGTCAAGGATTACCTTATTTTACAGCTGTATGTAATCTCCAACTAATTTTGAAATTAGTTTACAGAACAAATAACATAGCAAACAAGATTTGATCTGTAGTTTAAGCTAGCCTATCAAAATCAATGGACAAAGTCAGTACATCGATCCTCATTAAAATGATGAGCAACAAAAAAGTTTGGACTCATTTTACCTTTGTGTAGTTCTACTTGCTCTAACATGTTTTTCCACTGGCTGTGTTGGTTGTAGTATGGTTCTTACATCACCAGAGGGTGTGGATTTGATTGCCACATGGGCCACATATACTGAATTATCTGTAAGACACAATGGAAAAAACTGTACAGTATCTGACAGTCAACATTCCCTTTACCGCTTGCTACCACCATTTGCACTCCTGTAAATCTCATACTGGATAAGAAGGTCTGCCAAAATGACCAGATGCCAAGTGCATTCTACATAAGTGTATACTGCTTTATATAAACATTCGCTGTATTCATAATGGAAGTAGAGATAGGCAGGTAGGCGGATAGCCTAGTAGTTAAGAGCGTTGGGCCAGTAATCGAAAGTTCGCTGGTTGAAATCCCTGAGCAGACAAGGTGAAAAATCTGTTGATGTGCCCTTGAGCAAGGCACTTAACCCTAGTTGCTCCTGTAAGTCACTCTGGATAAGAGTGTCTGCTAAATGACGAAAATGTAGATAGCATACTGTATACTCCCCAGGTTTCATGCCCACTGGTCCCTGAAGGGGGACTATACCCATGTCTGTCCACTAACTGTACCCATCAGGGTGTGGGCATGCCTGGCCTTTTTAATGATAATACATGTCTCTATGTCAGCTTTCATAAAGCCTCACCCTCTTTTCTCCTCTTGACCCCATTTTCCACTCTAGCTGCCAACATTAAAATCCAGATGACTGGATTGTGGTCTGAGATCGGGTATCCAGAGGAGTATTGGCTGAACACGGCTGCAATTCTCCTGGGCTGGGGGCTGAGTGGCAAAGGATAGCCTCTGCTGATCATGAGTGCAGTGCCAACGTTAACACCTTGTGCGACAAAACACGTTTATGACTACAAAAATTTGAATTAGATCCAGCGCAAGTTTTGTGCACCTCTCCCCCTCTCCCATTGACAGCCCAATCTCAAAAAGCCCCACAGTGGTAATAGCAAGTCTCGATTACAGCAACATATTGCTTGGATCATCTCGCCCTATGTCTGAACTTGATTTCTCTGATAGCCTGTTTTCTCTAGCCAGGTGGTTGATACACAGTAGTAGTGGATGGAGTGAGTTATCTCCATTGTCCATACAATATAAAACACTTCAAGAACTTGTGAAAAGCTTAGAACAATATATATTATTGCAATCAAAGATGAGTTGCTAAATCTAACAAGCTGAATATGTGCTCAGGTGACTTGGGTCTCCCTACTGTATTTGCTGGCATATACTACAGCATAGCCGTGCCATACTCTATTTAATACAGTATGTGGTTTATACAGCCCAATAACAAAGCAACTCAAAGGGAAACAACCTAAATTCATATTGTAAGGTGTTGCTATTTGTGAGTGGATTGGTTGGTATAAGCTATTTGGAGTATTCATATAATATGCCTAGACAACACTATGGAAAAGACACAGACTACCACACAGTTATTACGTCATGTGCCCCTACGTGGCACAGAGCATGAAAGTTGCCTTTCCATCAATCTTATCTAGAAACTATGCAAGTGGTTTAACCGATAGGAACGAACTGCTTCCTGTTATGATGTCATGAAAATCAAACCAATGGTGTAGAACTTCGGCTGCAGAACAGCCTGTAGACTAAAGGAAATAGTTTTGACATCATCTTATGAGGTGAAACCACTAATTTCTTTGGAGATACCAGAGAACTCAGGATCTGGTGATACTTTTATGATGGTGTGTGTAGTAAAAACTATGTGTAGTAAAATGATGTCTGTGAAATAGTATCATGACATTTAAGAAAAATGGCAACAAATGTTTTATTTTGAAATGTTCTTTTAATATTAAATACTTTTTCTTCATCTGAATATATATACGTATGTACCACATTACGAAAACTCACAAATATAAAGTATTTCTGTTATAAGTATACACATGTCACAAACAAACATAGAACATTTTTGTATAAATCTGTATACTGTGTTAGAACGTTGAAGTGCTCTTAGCTGCTCGTGATTTTGTCACATTTCACTGTGTAATGACTTAAGAAATCACTTGAAGGTCATTTAAAAAACAAAATAAAAAGAACAACATATAATAAAACTGCACACACTCCTCCTGAAGGAGTGTGTGTAAGGCAACACTTACAGTAGCAGATATTTATAGATTCACACAGTTAAGGATAAGGATAGAAAGCTATAAAGTATTAAGGGTCACATGTTTGAGTGGATCCATGTTACAGCTATACTGTGAAACGTAATACTCTCTCACATCACTATGATTTTTATCCCTAGACTATTCTTAGACTATTCCAAACCATGGGATTCCTTTTCATTTCAGCCAATCGCACTTCACCAAGTATGTTTGAATGTTTTGTCATTTTGTTGTTGCTGACATTAAATTAATAGATTTACAGAGTTTCTACCAGTGAGATGGATGGAATGAAAACCTGAATACCCAGGAGTTCTTCAGGATTTAATGATTTTAACTTTTTAAAGGCACTTTTTAAACATTGTAATTCTGCTGGCATTTGTCTCTTTTTAAGGACTCATTCCTATAAACATTTTAGTTTGAAGGAAAATTGTTTTGTTTCAGTGATATGATTCTCCTGCCATTACAAACCCGCAATACTTGTTTCATTGTGGCGTGAGTAAAAATGATGACACCTTTTAAAGGTCCAATGCAGCCGTTTTAATCTCAATATCAAATAATTTCTGGGTAACAATTAAGTAAGTACCTTACTGTGATTTTTTTCAATTACAATGGTAAAAAATCAACAAAAATAGCTTCTTAGCAAAAAGCAATTTCTCAAGCAAGAATTTTGGGTGGGGAGGGGAAAATTGAAAACTAGCTGTTTTGGGCAGAAAGGTTATAAACTCTCTTTCTTATTGGTCTATTAACTAATTTACCACCTGGTGATGTCACCAGGCAGGCCAAAACTCCATCCCACCAAAACAAGCTGAAATTTCAGGCAGCTCTTACACTAAAAGGGCATTATCATCATTTTAACAATTTCACAGTATTATTCCAACCGCATAGTGTGAAAATATATATATAAACACAGGAAAATCACGTTTCTGACTGCAATGGGCCTTTAAGGTATATTAAGGCTTTATGGTTGATGAGCTGTAAATGTCACAACAATAGCCAGCTGTCACTGCAGGCAGACAGATATACAGCTTCCCTTTGGTCCAAGACCTTCTATAGGTGTAAATGTGTGGTATCAGGACTACAAATGGCTTTTATTATTATTATTATTATTATTATTTTATAACGGTTTCAGTGAAAATACTCACTTTTGAAATGTAGGATGCAACAGTTGTCTTTGAGAAAGGCTAGTGGACTGGAGACTACAGTGTTTGACACGGTTGGCCTCTCCACGCGTCAACTTTGAACAGCTACTAAATTAAGTTGTGTTGGGATTTGGACACTCAATAGGATTTTTGAGAACTTGGGTTTAAGTGGGTGTTCAGGTGTGAACATGCCTGCTTTTTCCCCTCAGAGCTGTACATACACACCAACTGTCTCCCAATATCTCGCAGCGTGCAAAAACACAAACGTACACATTTTGCATAGCGATAAAGCCACTCCACAAAGTCACACAAAAGAGACCAAAAACTAGAAATGTTATCTCATGTCTTCCTCTCTCTTGTTGAATGAATTGTCCAGGATAATTCCACAGATTGGAAAATAGACATCCAATTCTGTCATCCACAAGTTTTTGTTATTAAACTAAATGTGAGAAAAATTCCTCACTTTTAGACACTGGACCGGAGGCAGAATCAGACACTTTTCATCAAGTCAGTGCACTGGAAAGGGGTGATTCCACTTCAGTGGAGGGGGGGGGGGGGGGGTGCCTTCTATCCACATTCAACACTCAGAAGTCCCAAATGTAATGGACAAAGACAACGGCCCCCTATTCACCTCCTCAGTTTATCATATTTTTGTCTACTCAGCATCATCACTTAATCATTCCTCGTCCTCTTTTTATCTGTCTTTTCAGAAAGGTAAGGTATCCATGAAGATTTTGTCTACGATGGGCGGTGGGGGGACCAGGTCCTCCAGCTTCAGGTAGAAGATGCGCTGCAGGCCCTGGGTGCAGAGGGTGCGCAGCTCGGGAAGCTTCCCCAGCAGTCGGGACAGGAAGTTTGGCTGGGGCCGCCCCGCGTCGGAGCCACTGCCGGTCACGTGGTCCCTCAGACAGGTTATGAGGCGGTTCTGGAACTCCTCCACCCGTTTGGGCTCTTTAAGGCCATGGCGATCTGAGGAGAAACAACAAGGAGAAACCTCTTGATGAGAAACATGAATAAATGCGCTTGTGACAGGCTATATACCACAAGCATATAGTATGAGTGTTTCAGTTGAGTTACCAGAACTTACCAGACGTATTGCTTTCAGCTCCTTGTGGAGCAGAGAAGGGGTTCACTAAAACTAACTGTATAGTGAAATTGTATGTGTCTGTGTGTGTGTGTGTGTGTGTGTGTGTGTGTGTGTGTGTGTGTGCGTGTGTAGGTGCATGTGTTTGTATGTGAATGTGTTTCACCTGTGATGATGACGAGTGCTGCGAGGCAGGCGAATGAGGACACGTCCAGGTTCATGCGGTGGAGGCTGTGGGAGAAGTCCATGATGGAGTCGATCCAGTCGCCAAAGCCCCGCACACACTGCATACGGTGAAGTACCACGCCGTTGCAGAAGATCAGCTTGTTCTTCTCAGGACTCGACCTAGACACAGAACAGTCTTAACATATATCGCAGAAACATTGGGCAAACATTTGTGTTTTATAAGGAATTATACAGTAAATGTGTGCGTCCCAAATGGCACTATATTCCCTATTAAGTGCATTACTTTTCACCAGGGCCCATAGGGAATAGGGTGCCAGTCAATGTTTACAATGGTAAATATACCTGTATGCTAGCCGGAGGATGAAGAGTTCCACGAAAGCAGATTCCAGGAGCAGCTCCTGGTCTTCTGGGCAGAAGGCGGTGAATCCTGGGATGGTCTCGGCCCATTTCCGGAGCACATCCATGGTGCCTGTCAGCAGGTCGTAGAACTGCTGGATGTCGTTGGCATCCTCTTTCTCTGATAGGCTGGCCACTGTCTCATGGTACTGAGGAGTGGAAAGAGGAAAGAAAGTGATGACTCACTGCCTCTGATGTCCCACTCTTCATAACATTTAGTGTGAAATGTGATCGAGATGACTTCCATCAAATAAGTTTAATTACATAACAACGATATTAAAGCAAGAAGCTTAACTTTAGCAACAGCAACTGGCTAAGTTCTGAGAGAGATTCAACAGCAAAGACGAGCTACTGCAGGCACTTAACAGACAACCAATAATATGCTGTTCCATGAGTCACATGACAGGGTCTGGAGGTCTTACCTTGGAGTAGTCCAGTTTTCCGATGGCAGGGTTGGAGTCTATGTGAGCCCTGACAAGAGAGGTGATGATGTTGATGGGTGGAGTGGTGGACGCTGACTCCGGCACAGTCTTGGGTTTAGAGGGCAGACGACCCCTGCGACCTTTCAGGCTGTCTGTGCGGACGACTGCAAGTGAGAGAGAGAAAATAAAAACAAATACTCTCACTGACTGTACGTGTCTGAGATTCTCATGTGACTGTCACCGCAAGCCTCCGTTTCACTAAACAACTGCTATATCCATTTCAGTTTATCTTTTTCTACGAGTGGGCACTGTAAAGCTTCAGTTTCGCATTGCTGTCAGTTCGAGCTTGGGTTTCACATCAAATATAGTAGTCACTGAAGGCTTTAAGGGGGTGTAACATGGCATTACCTTCTTTCACCATTCCCACCACCAGGCACTTCTGGAAACGGCAGAATTGGCACCGGTTCCTCCGCCGCTTGTCTACTGGACAGTCCTTGTTGGCTAGGCACACGTATTTAGCATTCTTCTGCACAGTTCGCTGCAAGAAGAGAAAACAAAGAACAGTGTGATTATTTTCCTGCACATTTCTCAATGTTCCCCTTTCTCTTGTATAATCACACTTCTACTGGAACTGGAGCCAAGTTAATGTATGAATAGGTTATTATGTGTAACTGAATCATAAAAACTTCCTATGCAGACAGCCTGTAAAATAATAATAATATAACTACTGTGAAGCTTCCTACCTTAAAGAAGCCCTTGCAGCCCTCACAGGTGCGGACCCCGTAGTGCTGACAGGAGGCGTTGTCCCCACACACCGCACAGCGACCCTCATTGGCCCCGGGGCTGCCGATCTTAGGGGACGACATAGGCCCCTCCATGAGCCTGGGGCTGTCTAGGGACACCTGGTCCAGAGATAAGGGGGCGTAATGGAGAGGGGAGGCGTTCTGCTGGGAGGGCTGGAAGAAAGGGTCCTCCTCACCCTGCTGGGGGCCCTGGTGCTGCCCCAGGGGGGAATGCTGCTCCGACGGGGGGGTGAAGGTGAAGAAGGAGGGCTGCTGAGCTAGGCCTGACTTATCAGCCACCCAGCACCCAGGGCCTGGGGAGTAGGGGCTGAAGGGGGAGTCCCAGGCTGGGCCAGGCTGGCTCTGGAAGCCCGGGGTGGGTGGGGAGGCAGTGGCCGACGCAGGGCTGCCATAGTAATCGGAGCCACAGGAGGACAGCGTCTCATCAAGGTAACTGAGGGCGAAAGAGCCCGGGTAGCAGCCGTACACCTGGAGGTCGTCCAGTTTGAAGGCTGAGTGCTGAGCCTGAGGGCTGGAGCTGCTGCCGGCCGCGGGGCCGGAGGGGGCATTGGAGGCAGAGGTGGTGATCTGGCAGGAGTAGGCGTCAAACTCGCCCACGTAGCCGCTGCCCACCAGGGTGTTGATGCTGGGGAGGGAGGAGGCGGTGAGCTGGTCCCGCTGGGCACCGATGTCCATGGCTGGCTTAGCACTGAGGTCGGGGTTCAGGAACTCAGAGCTAAAGTAGTTGTTGTCGTAGGGCACAGTTCCATACTGAGTTTGAACACAGGGCATTGCTATAAAATAAATACAACAATATTTAAGAAAAATATTCCAAAGCCAAATAGTTGCGTTCTGTAGTCGTTGTTCTTAATTGTTGTTCTCTATCAAAACATGAGGCCAACATAACTGCTGAAATTATGTTGAGTAATGTTTGTTGAGTAATGTAGCATGAGTAGACCCTATAGGCCCACCTGCCGTACGCTCCAAGCTCACCATCACTCCAGCCAAGCCAGGTGCAATAACCCGTAAACAACTCTACAACCATCATCTGCAAGCCTCCTTACTAATCACTCAAGTCAACAACACTGAAGAAACTTAATCGGTCTTAGGGATCCCTTTTTAACATCTCTCCAACAGCGCATCCTGACATCATCCCATAAAGAAACACTTCCATTTCCCCCCTCTCCTCACGCTGCCACAGCTTTAGGCCTCTTGATACCCCTTTGGTGATTCCGAGAAAGCCTGGAAAGCCGGCTGACCGGCGGATGTGGAGAAAGTCTTACTGGAGGATATTGGTTACTGGCTTTGAATGCTTTGAAACCCCCCCCCCCCCCTTCGGTTATGAACAGGGCAACCCTCCTACCCAAGGTCTGGGGATTGGGTGTCAGGGTGGGCTAAATGCCAGCTGAAGAGGGGAAGGTGACAGGGCCGGTGGAGCGGAGGGCTGTGGGGGGTGCTAAGGTATCTTTAGCAGCTGGACGTGTGTGTGATTCATGTCTACCTCTCAGAACTGTCAATATCAGAACAATATCGGATCTGGAGGATTTTTCTCCAGGAGGTGTTCTTTCACTGAACTGTAGCTATAATCATCTGATCCAATTCATATCTTAATTATTATCTTAATTCAATTTCAGTTAAACCGCAATGAAGGCTGTTGGTCAGTCAAAGCTTTGAATATCTCAAGATATTCTTGCATGACTAAAAGCAATGTAAAATAAACAATGATCCTAAACACTTTCATTTATGTGCAATCACTGAATGGAAGTCGCTGCTTTTTCCTAGTTATACACTACATGACCAAAAGTATGTGGACAACTGCTCATCCAAAATCATGGGCATTAATATGAAGTTGGTCCCCCCTTTGCTGCTATAACAGCCTCCACTCTTCTGGGAAGGCTTTCCACTAGATGTTGGAACATTACTGCAGGGACTTGCTTCCATTCAGCCACAAGAGCATTAGTGAGGATGGACACTGATGTTGGGTGATTAGGCCTGGCTCGCAGTCGGCGTTCCAATTCATCCCAAAGGTGTTCGATGGGGTTGAGGTCAGGACTCTGTCAGCAACGGGTGTGGCTGAAATAGCCAAATCCACTAATTTGCAGAGGTGTCCACATACTTTTGTATATATAGTGTATCATCACCAACAACATGTCTGGGTGTAGGCTATTCTGCCCCTAAACAGTGACGCATGTTTTTACCTCTTAGCATGTGCTTTGGTGAGAGAAACTATACACTTGTTGCACACAAACTAAAGTAAGAAACATCCTTGACCTATAAAAAGGGTGCTTACATCAAAAGGTCACAAGTTAACCTCTGAACCCCGTGTGTAACTTGCACGCAGAGGATATGTGTGCGTCTGAGGACAAGAGAGACACAACAGTGAGACATCCGATACCGCCACTGCCTCCTCTTGAACACCCAGTAAAACTACTTGCCATATCGCCACCTGTCTGATCTTTCTCATTGGTCGTCTAAGTTGATAGCAATGTGATGCATAAGCCTATTTATTTCATATAATAAAATAATACACATGGATTAAGTTTAAAATATCTGACCATGAAGAGCAAATATTACAAAACTATAAATAGCCTACCACTCACATTCTCAACTATTTCAGACCATCAATACACCCCTATTGCCCCCATATAAAAGGCCATATAAAATAGCCCTGTTAAACAGCATAGTCTACAGGTAGGCTTTGGAACGAGCAAGGCAAAGATAAGGCAATGATAGAGAACTGGGGGAGTGTGCTGCTGGTTGCAACACAACACAGACCAACACATAGTCAATTCACAAATGTGATAGTGATCAATGTTGAATGCAGTCAAGTCTACAATGATATCCAGGACATCTAGCATTTGGTCTGACATGTTATTAACTTGTTATTAAGTTATTATTTGATTGACAGTTTTAAGCAGCTGTTGCCTACTCGAACGGTATAGCATCTACACATTGCCTTGTCTGTATATGCAATTCGAAAATAGAAAGAGACTAGGCTAATTTATCACATTATCAAGAAAACAAATGTACAGTCATTGCAAGTAGGCTAAAATGCAACAAATCATTCAATAAGTAAGCTCTTTAGGAGGGTAAAGTTTTCGAAGAATAAAAAAGCATTCTTACCAATCGGATCCATAACAAAACAGTGAAGACCACTAGCATGCATGCAAAATAATAAGACATACCTTTTACTAACCTGATCTATAAATCCTCTAAATTCCTTAGACAGATTTTCATTTATTCCGAGTGATGGAGAAGCATCAAGTGTATTACAACCTCTGTCTACAGTTCAGAAAGTGAATGAAATCTCCAGACTTGGGGTAAGAGCGCAATATATACAGTCACTTTTACTTTGCCGTTACGTCGGGTGGCCCCGGCTCTAGGCGTGTCTTTCCGCATAAATGCCAAAAGGGGCGGTGATTTTTCCGGGTCAGGAGCCAATGGCATCGTTCTCACACAGACGTCCTCATACTCTGACGCACGCTCGGGATTCCATTGACGCAAGCGACGGGGGAACGTTTGATCTAAATTTAGACCTGGTTACACGCGTCGAGCTATAACTGCCTGGAATAGGCCAAAAATAAACGTCTGATGATTACATTTTATTGCTTAAAGCAAAGTTGTTAACTGCCTAATTATTGACAGAGATAACGTAATTAATGGTTTGTCACAGGGAAGTCCTTGTAAAGACTATATGCTGGGTCGTTTTGTTTAAGTCTATTTAAATAGCATAGGCCTAACTATAGGCTATTCAAATGGTACACAATCTAGCCTATATATAGGCTAATATGTCTAGTCTAACCATTTGTAAACAGTGACATTTGCAAACAGGGACATACATTGAGGGAGTTTATATACACAATTGCTCAGTTAGGTTTAACCCATTGGCTTTAAGGTCTATCTTCCAAGTACAATGTTAACAATGGAGTAATTACAATACTTGTTAAACTGCACTTACAGGAATAATTAATAATGGACACTGTATGTAAAGTGTAAGCCTTTTTATCAATGATTTGGCCTATATAATTACACTACCCTATAGCCTACAGTCTAGGAGGCCTGTGCTCCAATTCTCCACCCTTTTCCCCAAAGTGTGCACTTGTGCACTCCCCCACATGGATTTAAAATATAGGATTGGTGTAACAGTCCATGCTTATAACAATCTTAAGCTTTTAAATCCAAGTGCACACTTCAGGGAAGAGGGTGGAGAATTGGGATGCAGAGTAGGTGCAGCTCGACAAGTTGTAGTATGTATGGGTGTGTTGAGGGTGTGTGCGCATGAGAAAAGCACTGCTTGAAGCGCAACAAGCGGGAAACATCTGCACGTGGCTGCGTCGAGGTATTACTATTACAGTGCCAACAAGATCAGACAGGTGTATCCCTACAGCCCTAAAGCCCTGCGGGGCAGTAAAACTGTAAAACGACAGCCGAAGGTGTTGGCACCTTCTCTACAGGTAAATTCTCGGAATTCAGGGACTGAATACCCAGCTCAATTCCTGGAGGTGCCTGCGGGTTTTTGCTCGTCCCTTGATTGATCGATTAAGGTCATTGATTAGAAAGGAACTTCCCTCACCTGGATGACAAATTGATGAAAAATAACAAAACCAGCAGGCACTCGGCCCTCCAGGAATTGAGTTTGATACCCCTCGTATAGCCTTCATTTTTGCCATCTCCACTTCCTCTGGGGAAATTTCCACAGAAACATATATTTACTGCAAGTTTTGATCATTCTGGCAGCAGAGTACCGCTCGGGAGTGGTAGGTACAGCTCTAGAATCAGTTTCCCCTCCCCCAATCGTAACCCTAACCATTAGTGGGAAAAAACCTAAAGTGATCCCAAATCAGGGTCTAGGGGCAACTTCATCCTATACTAGCAGAGTACCTAGCAACTTTAGTTGAGTCAGAAAGTGTAATGTGTGTCAGTCAACAATATGGGACAGTATGACAATCTACTACTCTATTGAACACCAAGGACCGGTTTCCCAGACAAAGATTAAGCCTAGTTCAGGCCTAAAAAACACAAACAAACATGTGTGTGTGTTCATGTGTGTGTGACTCCAGACTTCCTCATTCACTCTCATTGGGGTCATATTGCAAAGTATTGTATCTTAGTATGAAGACGGTAATGTTGCTAAAAATATCAGAGAACAACCCTTACTTATACAAAAGGCCCAGTCTTTCTACTGTACCCTTGCAGTTAATGTGAGCACCTGCACTTTACTGTCTATGTCTGCACTCTGCTCTCTTTCCAGTCCCAGTGCAGGCAGCCCAGGGACACATCAGTGCAATGAAAGACATGACTCATCTCTCCAAATTCCTCCCTTGACTTTGAATCCATCCCAATCCCAACACACAGTATGTACAGTAAAACATGCTATACTGTAGAGTCAATACTGATCCATCTGGTGCACCATAATCTGGAAACCTGGGGAGAGAAACTGTTGTTTTCACCAACCACCTGGAGAGAGAGTGGGAGTGGGGGGAAACCCCAGCACTAGTGTACCCTAACTAACATCTCAGTGTAATAGAGGCTATAGACACGGTGGAAAGATATACTGTATGATATCCTATAATACTCGTCCAGTCTCTCAGAGTACAATATATGTCCATCTTCTATACTTAGAGCTTAGACAACAGATCTAGACCCATTGTCCCTGTAGATTTGACTCCAGAAAACACTCTGACATATAAGCTGAAAATCACTCACCAATGATAACAAAACACCCTGAGTTAAACTGTCTATACTGCTCCCCTGTAGTTGAAGAGAAATATAATTTCCCATCGCAGAACATTGACTTGAATGGGAAGGTTCAATCTAG